ACTAGAGGGTGGCGGCGCGACAGTACAGTAGAAAGAGGACTTGTTAAATGTGATATCATCGGTAAGTGGGACGACACTAGAGGGTGGCGGCGCGACAGTAGAAAGAGGACTTGTTAAATGTGATATCATCGGTAAGTGGGACGACACTAGAGGGTGGCGGCACGACAGTAGAAAGAGGACTTGTTAAATGTGATATCGTCGGTAAGTGGGACGACACTAGAGGGTGGCGGCGCGACAGTAGAAAGAGGACTTGTTAAATGTGATATCATCGGTAAGTGGGACGACACTAGAGGGTGGCGGCGCGACAGTAGAAAGAGGACTTGTTAAATGTGATGTCATCGGTAAGTGGGACGACACTAGAGGGTGGCGGCGCGACAGTAGAAAGAGGACTTGTTAAATGTGATATCATCGGTAAGTGGGATGCAGCACCGGCATACAGTGTGCATCTACATGTATATCTATCAGTACCGTGCGTGATATATTACTCATGAGCTTCTAGTGACGTCATAGTCATGCATATTCATTACGCGCTCTACTGTCGTACCATTTTATGCTACCTATTTTTCATCATTTTGGCCAAAAAACCGACAAAATCCAGCAATGTTTGTTCTGCGCATATTACGTGAATATGGAGTTTGGGGGCAAACTGTGCAGGGGTTCTGTGGGAAATGTCTGCATTTTGATGGACGTTATTGTACTTAAAGGGAATATACAACATTTGCAAACATCGAAAAATAAAACTACCAAGTTTTTGCGAATTACCTTAATAGGATGTTGGTAAATGATAGTCTAAAGCATCCTGTAAAATTATGGCACCTGGTATACTGTCATTTTCAAGAAAAGTGGTATTTTTGTATCAATTTCCAACGCTGATCGGCCGATCAGCGTTGGAAACAACTGGCTTTTTTTCAAATACTGGCCCCAATTGACCATTGCACTTGTTTGCAATCGATTACAAACCTATGAACGGGTACGAGCAAGCTAGACTGGTTCCCTGACCTTACAATTCCCCAATGTATGTAAACTGCTCTGTTTCTTCTTATATGGAGTCAGGGAACCAGACTACAGGAAATGATCGTTTTTCTTGGTTTTTATAGCATTTTCGAACCCAAAACCTCCAAAAAGTCAGTGTAACTATATTTGCTTTATATTTCCAACCCCCAATTCCATCCATTTCTGAAAATTACAGCAAAAGCAAATGATGTATATTCCCTTTAATTAGTGTTTTGTGCTGAAAACAATTTTGCGGGGTTCTTCATCTATGAGGCTCTACTACGTGGAGCCTCATAGTTCTAGGAGTAGGCCTAGTCATGCTAGTCCAGATATGGGAATCTTTCCTAATTTTTTTGGTGATTGTGTATCTACGGGCTCCGTAGGAAACAACATCCACTTAAAAAAAATAATTTGACCTACCAAACGCAAACTAGTTGGCGACATTAGGAACATGCAGGTATGTCAAAGATAAAGGCCTGGGTTTTGAATTTTCGAGGGAAATTTGAGGGGTAAAATGACTATGAGTCGTAAGACAACGACAAAACACAACACGAAAATAATTAACTACACTAGTACCATGACTACACGATCGATCGCTCCCCCCCCCCCCCCCCCCCCGTATTGATTTTATAGAGGCCAATTAACTACTCCGTCAAGTGTCCAAACAAAGAAAAACCTGACTACATTTCAACAATGATTTGCTGATGACCCCCCCCCCCCCGCAAAGCTTCCTGGATCCGCCCCTGTGACACTAACCTGTCAAAGCAGCCAAGATGAACAAGTGCAACCACCACGGAGAATTCATATCCGAGTCTGGTTCGTTCACACAAAGCAAAACACACGTCAACGACTAGTTTTCTTCAAACTAAAAAATCTGAGAACTAAACAAGCAAAATTAGCGGTTTCACACTGAGTGACAGTTTTCTGATCGATCGCTGACAAATTAACTAGGCCCTACACAAATAATCGCCGAGTCGTACGCGTACTCGACAAGACGACAACCTCGTTCTCGCGAGGACAGGGATGAGTCATCGTCAATCCATATGCTTTACATGTGGGATCATGCGCAAATTTTTCATGAAACCGAGGTTGTAACCTATTCGCATCTGGTACCCATGCGATGAGGTTGGTTTTGTATGTATGTATTTTAGGTACCATACTGTACCATTTCGTGCCGACGTTCGCTCGTAGGTGGGTGGGGCTTATTGGAACAGAAAGAAGGGGGGCGGAGAGAAAGAAATGTTTGAAATTATAAGTGTCTATCATGTTTAAGTTGGCATGGTGTTTCCCTTGAAACAGAAGATTTTTTCCCACTGGATACAACTTTAGGTCCTACCTATAGCCTATAGGCCTATGCTTCAATCATTAAAAAATGGGTTTAGATTTGTTACAGCAAAGCTAGCGCTAGAGGGCGCTATCGAAAGTTACCCGCACCCGCGAATTTATCTGCGACCGGCGACCGAATAAATATCGACCATGTCGACGGGGGCCTGCTGAAACTTTTCGCAAGGACTATTTCTTCGAGATACAGAGAAGACACGTGCTGAATTTTTGGAGAATGGTGGATTAGGTTAGGCCCTATCAATCATTCTGTTTCTTGCTGTAGGCCTATTGTTGATGTACCCTAACGTGGCGCGGCCCCTAACGTGGCGCACTTTGATTTTTCGCCTGTAGCGCCTAGCTACAGCAAAAGTTTTCACTGAAATTTCACTTTCTGTGAAATTTCATCAAGTTCTAAACACTCCCGTTTATAAATCGCGAGTTTATTTACCCGCTACAAAGTTAAAAGAAAAATTTCTTTTGGCGTGATTTTCCGATTTTATTTTCAAGTGTAAAGTGAACCCTTTGAAAATGCCCCGAAAAATAAGAAAATAATTTTCTGACAAACATCTGGCTGGGCATGTAAGTAGAGATAATAATGACTTATCAAAATTTATCAAGTTTACAGAAATTCTTAAATGTTAATTTGGAATTTTCCGAGATTTATTTAAGTGCGCCACGTTAGGGAACACTCCGCCAATTTGTGCCCAATTTCCGGACGCCACCGTTTTTCAATTTCGGCTTAAATTTTATGAAACCGAAATTGTTCACAGAGGTTAAATAGCAAGCATTAATAAGGTGAAAGTACCAGTTTTTCACTGCATGAATTTGAGGTTTGTCAACAAAGAGGTTTGGCAACACTACACGAGGAAAGTTGGGTAAGCTTCGAAGTGCGCCACGTTAGGGAACACGACTATATAAGCTATGACCTATGGAGTGCCGACCTACTCCTAGAACTACGGTATGATGGGCCACGCAGTGGAGCCTAGAACTATGTAGTGGAGCCTCCATAGTTCTAAGAGTACCGACCTATACTGTTGGGATTTTGCTTACATGGCCGATCATGCCGATGCTTATGCGCCTTCATTTATTTACTACACATTGTCGTACATGTCATAACCAGGTAACTAAAACTTAAAAGTTAGTATCTTAAAATTTCTATGCAAAACCCCCTAGGCCCTACACTGGGGTTTGTATAGAAAATATCAGACAGTTATTTATTACTCCCCATCAAGGAATCATGCTCAAATTACTTCGGCAGTGACCGCAAGCCCCATTTGAAGAATATTAAAGTAATATTAAGACATGTAAGACAAGGTGATCAAGGTACCAACTTTAGTTTTATGGCAACGTACTGCTAGTAATGTAATACAACTAGTAAGTTATTAGTAATGTGAATCAACTGTGTCCAGTATTGTACACTGGGCATTTCCAGCGTTATGATGTTCAGAGGCAATTTGACAGAGCCGATTAACCATAGTCTAATTAACAATTCAGATCAGTGGTCCAATTACTAGATGGTTGATATAGGCCCTATATGTACATTTAAAAAACAAAAACCATTTTCAGGTTTATGAGCTCTTGACTTAAAAGACCTGTCACGGACATTACACAACGCTGAAATGCTTCAGCATTGACACAAATATAAACTGGTCCTGCATGTAAAGTGATGAATTAAACAGAAGCAAACACTATCTCAAGAGTGCTCATTCAGAACCTTGAATTTCCAAGCTTTCTATTTTGACGACACTTAGCTAGCCCTGTTAGGTTTACCTCGATTAATTCCATTTGTCTCCATTCAGATTGAAAGAGTAAGGAGCCCCTTGAACCTGCGTCCAGGCTGAATTCATGTGGTATTTTCTCAAAAGGTAGGTGGTTATAAGTTTGAAAATCTTGACTAAAAATTTACATTCCGGCGTCATATGAAAATTGGGCTCATATGAAAATCTGACTCTTTTTCCCTTTTATTGGTTAAACCCTCCCACTTGATCGGTCCCTCTCCTAATTATCTATGCATGAGCATGCGCAATACCATCAATGAGTCCGTATTCCATAAAACCTAAATTCATGCTACACCGGTATCGAGTAGACTAATGTGCTGAAACAGTCGAAATTAATTCGACTGACCAAACAAAATCTGCTATTTTGACATCACAATAAAGGGTAATTTCACCATTGGTATAATGCCTCGAGTGTTGAGCATGAATGTTAAATTAAGAATTTGATTAGAATCATTTAAAGTCCATTGTAGATTGATAAGTTGTAAACAGTATTCAAAAAGAAAAAAAAAATTAAAAATATCCCTCTTTTAGAAGTCGTAGCACAAACAAATGACGTCATAATAAAATTCTGCCAGAATTTATAAAAAATTCTGAAAAATTCCTGGCTACGCCAATGCTAAACGTGCAGACGACACGCATATCTCGCTCGCTACACGTAAGAAAAAAACGGATACGAATAGCTAAACGTAAGTGTAAGCGTAACCGTTCGCTTGCGAAACCTCCCTATTAATATATTTTGACTTACACCCATAGTATATGCATGGTCCTATTGTTTACTTACAATAGCGAAGAATATTCCATATTTTGGCAATTTCGTTAACTATTGAATGCATGCAAATGGTGTCCATTGCCATTTAAGTACAAGGCAAATTATATTGTGGACATATTCATTTTTTCAGGTTGTAAGTAAGCTACCTAAAGATGGCTGAGGCCACAGCCAAAACCATGTTAGGTGAGATCAGCCAGGGTCACCTGGAATGCCCCATCTGCTTCTGTCGTTACAAAGATCCCAAGATACTGGACTGTCTCCACACCTTTTGCCTCAACTGTCTGGATGGGATGTTGAGCAAACAGCAGCCGAGTACAGGCAAGATCACATGCCCGGTCTGCAGGAGGGAAAGCCCGGTGCCGGATGCTGGCTTGCCCAGTCTACTTGACTGCTTCTTCTTGAAGTCCCTGGTGGATGAGATCAACCAACAGGAACGATCGCTAGAGACCCCCCAGCAAGCAACGACTTCACCGATGTGTGACCAATGCGACGAGGGGTTAGAGGCTGTTTTGCGATGCCTGGACTGCGAAGAAAATCTGTGCCAGCTATGCAAGGCAGCTCATGCACGATTCAAACGCACCAAGACACATCGGGTTACACCAGTTGAACACCCGGAGCAGAAGGAGGGTTCCTCGGCAGATCTCAGCATGATGTATTCCCCGAAATGTCAGAAGCATGCTGACCAGAACATGCATTTTTACTGCGAGACGTGCAAAATGATGATGTGTGGCATATGTGCGACAATCGATCACCGCTCCGCTGACCACCAGTTGAGTGAAATCGCCAACGCTGTAAGATCCTACCGTGAAGAAGTGAATGATGTCTTGCAGAAATTACAGAAGAGTAAAGAAGAATTCAAAGCAAGTGAGGAATCGGCTGACCGCGCAAGAAACAGACTGAAAATAATGGTGACCCGGGCCTGCAGTGACATTCAAGCTAAGAAGGAAGAAGAGATTGCCAAAATCGAGATGAAGTCTCAACTTCTCATAGACAAGGTCACTGAAATTGGCAAGAAAAGAGATGATGACTTTGTAAAGGTACACACCAACAATGAGAAGAAGATGGAACAAGCAGAGAAGATCGAGGCAGCAGTGAGCGACTTGATGCAACAAGCTGACGACTTCGAACTCTTGAATTTGAAGCCTAAGGTGATGCACAACCTGGAATTCCGGAAGGATCTCCAGTTTGAGCGAGTGAAACACGGTGACTCTTTCATCGGGGTCAAATGCCAAGACGTTGTGCTTGACAAAGACCTTGGTGAAATACTTCACGAAGAGAAATGGCAGTTAAAGATTGAATTCGGTAAGCAAGGGAATGGTGACGGTGAATTCAACCGTGCAACAGGCATTGTATGCTTTAGCAATGGTAACATTGCTCTCAATGATATAAACAATAAACGATTGTCTGTATTCACTTCTACTGGACACTTCAAAGCAAAGTTTGCTCTGAATGCAACATACGGTATTGCTGTAACACCCGACGATCTACTTCTGGCACACTGTGAAGATCATGTAAAAGTCTTTGATATGAGCCATCAATTGATTTCAAAGTTCAACCTACTGCAGGCCGATAGCAAGGATCAGTCAAGCAGTTTGATTTATACCGGTGGTGTCACTGTTGACAATAACAATCAGGTAGCAGTGGTTGACAAGAAGTCGGGGGTCACATCTCTCCACAATCTGGACGGATCTTTGATCAAGGTCATTCCAAATACTGAAATGGTTCCCATTGACATTGTCGCAAACAAGGAACGTCTCATTTTTGCAATGTGGGCAATTCTCCATGGGAGAGCAAAAAATGTCAAAAATAAATATTTACATATTAAACCTTTTTTGTACTTTTTCCAGACCTCAATTAAATGGGGAATTCAGTTCAAAAAACGAAATTAAAAAAAATTACATATTTCTGGTAAAAACAGTGATTTTTGCAATTTATGATTAAAAACGTTCAGATTTGGTAAAAAAATAAAATTTTGTGTATGTATTACTTTCTGAATCACAGGGAAAAGATTTGATTTATTTTATGATGTTACAAGTTACTAACATTACTCAGGGTCATTAAAAAAAATCTAAAAATCTAAATATATATATATATATATAGTGTAGGCCTTCATTTAAAAATGTCAAAATTAGCACGTAATTCCGTTACCGAAAAAATGGCAAAAGTTACTTATTTCACAAATTTTCTTGTGTTTTTTCTTCAAATTATGTATGTTGAGAAAAGACCCAACTATAAACATAAATGAAAAAGAAAAACTTTAAAATAGTAATTTCTTGGCATTTTTCCAAGTGGTAACGGAATTACGAAACGGTAACGGAATTACGGTAACGGAATTACGCATGCACAAAGTATGCACACTTCCTCCAGATTATTTACATGACATATTAAATAGGAGATTTGCATGTAACCTTGGACAATAACTTTAAATACTAAATTACTTGTTAAATCATTTCCCTCTTTAATTTGCTGTTATACAATTAAAAATAATCAGGTGTTCCATTGATATTTTTTACTTTTACTTTTTTTTTTTACTTTTTAAAAAAATGCTAATAGTTGTTTGGATGCTTAAAGGGAATATAAAACATTTGCAAACATCAGAAAATAAAACTACCAAGTTTTTACGAAATACTTTACTAGGATGTTGGTAAATGACAGTCTAAAGCATCCTGTAAAATTATGGCACCTGGTGTGAAGTAATTTTCAAGAAAATGATATTTTTGTATACATTTCCAACGGTGGTCGGCCGACCACCGTTGGAAAAACCTAACTATTTTTCAACTACTGCTCCAACTTTACACTCTTTCTGGTCCAAATTTTGTTTGCTTTTTGTTACATGTTCATGAACGGGTGCAGGCCAGCTAGTCTGGTTCCCTTACTTTCCACTTTTCCGGCATCTATAAATTGATCCATTTTACCTTTAGTGGAGTCAAGGAACCAGACTACTTGAACAGTTTTGTTTTTCTTGGTTTTCCAGCATTTTCGAACGCAAAACTTCAAACATGTCAGTGTAACAATATTTGTTAACCCCTCAAATAGTTCATTTCTGAAAATTACAGCAAAAGCCAATGATGTACATTGCCAAAGCCGTTGTCTGGTACCCACAGAAAATATATTCCACAACAAGTATATGAAAGTTGAGTACCAGACTGTACTTGTACTTCTACTTGGCATAACTTAACATCCTCCCTTGCTCAGAGATGCCAACCAGTGCAGTTTTATTGTATTTTCCACGATAAACTAGTGAAATACGAAAATACAATTGTTCATAGTAAAATTTGATTTGCGGTAAAAAAAAATATACATTGCTAACAGGCAACGCAGCCATCACCAGACTGCTTTCATTTGACCTTGACCTTTGACCTAAAATCTGAAGCCCAGACATATTTAGGCCTACATTTACATTTTGATCTGCTAATTTTCACTTAGCTTTCCCCTTGTGGCATTTTATAAACTTCTAAAATTTGTATTGTGATGAGTTTATGTTGAATTCAATATTAATGTATTGCATTTACCTATTACATGTAAACCTATGGCGTAATTCCGTTACCGCCCAGGCGTAATTCCGTTACCGTGATAAAAATGCAAATTATGAAAAGAGTGATTATTTTTTCAACTTTGTTCTGCATTGTAGTTAACAACCCCCCTGAACTCTACAAATAACAGGTAGTGTCCAATTTTAAAATTTCAAAACTTCAGAGAGTTTTATTAATTTATGCGAGAACTCAAATATGCTTGTCCTTCGTCCGTAATTCCGTTACCGATATTAAGCTCCGCCCCTTAAAGGGTAATCTTGTGGGAATTTTTTTTTTTTAGCGGTCAATCAATTCTATTGGGTCTTGGCTCCCATTCCATGTTTAGATTAGTTGCCTAGCATAGAACATATTTTCTTGGGAAGAAGAATCCTTGACAAAGTGACAAAATTCCGTAATTCCGTTACCAAAGAATTGCCCATGTATCGCAGACGTGAATTACGATGCGTAGATCTGAACAGAAAAGAGTTCCATGTCGGCACTTCTGTGGATGGAAAGGATGCGAAACCAGCCGGTGTATGCTGCGATGATGAAGGCGAGATCTACGTTTCCTTTCATTGTGGTGAAGACGGAAGCAATGAAGTACACCACTATGATTCCCAGGGGGTCTATGTTGATTGTGTAGCGAAAAAATTGAGGCGGCCATTTGGCATTACCTTTTCTCCAAGCGGTGAACTAGTAGTGGCTGATCAGAACTCTGTCAAGATTTTTCATCGAGTATGAACTTGCCAAGGAGGTGTATGAACATTATCACACCACCGATTTTGAATAACGTGGGCGGAACAAAACATAAATGTGTACTATTCAAGTATAGTCAGGGGTGTGAAATCTCAGCTTTGAAGTTGATTTCAGCTTCTTCTTTTTTGGATTCCAGCTTTTTTTCTAGCTTTTTCCCTCACTTGCTGTGTACAAAAGTATAGGAGATTTCCAAAGTTCAGCTTCTTTACACCTTTTTTCAGCTATTTTCAGCTATTTTTATAAGTGGTCACTCTCACCCCTGTATAGTGATGAAGACAGAAGCGAATGATGTCACGACGAAAAATTCATACTAATGCCGAGAACCTTACAACCTTACACGACATGGAAAACTACCCTGACATTTCTTATTTACAAAGGTATTATGCAAATGTAAATTATAACCAAAACGTACCAATGAAGTTGAACACATAACGTTAATAATGACAAACAGCTTACATTATAATGACAACTATTACGTGTGTATAACACGTTTTTGGTAAAATTAAAAAAGAGAAATAAACATTTCTGTCACTTTCACGGGGCTCTGGGAAAAGAAAACACCATTGACTGTTATATGTCATGCCGACAATTCCCTGATGATACTAATCGCTTGAAAATTCTTTAAGCGTTTGTAATTATGTTCTTTGCTAACTCTTTTCTTCCTATTCGTAAGTGTCAATCACCTTTAAATTTCTTTTGGTTTATTGGGGCTGTACACACAAGTCTGTCAGTCTTGAGTGTTCGCAAGTGTTTTATATGGATTTCACAGTGTCAAGGCAGAGTCAGGGATACAAAATGTACTCAGACGTTTTCTTAAGCTCTACAAACAATATGTATTTACCTTCAGTTATGTACATCATACTCTCAGCATTTTACTGCATGCCTATGATCCGTCTGAGCTAATTTCCTTCTGAAGAAATCTGTACTAACTTTCTAACAAGGAAGGCCGCTAGGTTTGGTTTTCCTGTCACATGTCTACATTCGCTTTCAGTTAAAAATGTCCAAAGTTTACGAGTGAGAATGGATTTTTTTATACATCAATGCAACTATGCATTGCTTTTATCAAAAGTTTAATGGCCCAATTGAGCCTTAAATTTCTGGGGATTTTTCTGGGGGCCATTAAGAGACATAATTTCTTGTTGCCCATTAAGCATATATACTTTGTGAGTACAAATGATTAATATTTGTTTTGTTTCCACATTTTGTTGTATTAAAACAGTTAAAATAAAATACATGTACATTATGTTTCTTTAAAGTTAAAACACTGTGACTTCATACTTAATTTGATCGTGACTAATTCTGTAGTTACTACAAAGACTATAAGCATTTTTAAAACCATGCATTATCTCAGTTCAAATGATGTTTTCCTCTCTTCATTAAGTTGGGATTGAAAAGATTTGAATCTGAGCAAACATTGAAATTCACTTCTTTTTTTAAATAAAACACAATAAAAGACCACGAGAGTCTCGTTCCAATATGGCAATCCAATGGAAAATTTAGGACACGAATTCACTGAAATTACATTTGTCTGCACAAATGAAATACACATGACATCTCTTCATGCTGATCCAGAATTTTTAATTGAAGACGGTCGAATTGAAAACTGATGGGGTTCGTTAAACTTTCCGACTGCTAGCTAGCTAGGGTAAAGTAACCGGAGCTCCGTTCTGCAACCAATATGCTGGTTGCTGTGGGGTACTATCTTGATAAGATGTTGGATGCTTGAAGAAGCAGGCTAGATGCTTGGTTGGCTGCTGTATCTTGAAAGTGTTTGATTTCTTGCGGCTCAAGACCAGATGCTCTGCTGCTACGCCAGCTGCATTGGGGTTTGTTAGCTGTGTATACTTTCTTAATTGATGGTAAGTTCAGTTTCCATGGGGTATCTAGCAACTTTGCTATACTAGGTCTGTGCTTGTATGTTGGAGGGTATTTTGGTTATAACCGATTGCTTGCAACTCAAACCTCATTGCCGGCTGCTGCCCGGCCGTGTCTTGGCTTTATTTCTTGCATCTCGATCTGCTGAGCTGGCCGCTGTGTGGTATCCCGGTTTCGACAGCAATAGCGTTTGGGATTTAAGAACGAGAAGGCCTCCACTAAGGCTTCTCTGTAGTCCGAGTTTACTCCACTGTAAACCAGAGGATTTACGGAACTATTGAACAAACCCAGGATGAACACGACAATGACTAAATCGATCCAGGAATGATTTAGTTTGACCAGACTCGAATAAGAGAGGCTGGACCATGCAATGATTGCCACCATTATTGCTTCAATGATGGACGTGATATTCAAGGCGAAAAACACGGCGGTGTTTACGATGAGCATGAGGATCACTCGGCGCAGTCGCTGTTGATGATCATCCGAAGACGTAATCTTGGGTTGCTGTCTTAGTTTCTTGACAATACAAACATACAGGTAGACGTTGATGACCAGACCCACTGTGTAGTGGACCATGGTTACAACATTTGTGGCGTTGGATCCAGCATCCCCTCCCCACACGAAAGCTGCAGTCACCGCGAATCCTACCACGATGGCTGTTACCCACAGTCCTGCCGTGATCTTGAAGGCTCTACCTTTGCCGGCCTCGGCGCGAAATGTCAGCGGACGGCAGATGGCAAAGTACCGCTCGAAAGCCAAAGCAGTCACGAAGAAGTGGGATGCGAAGGTGCTGACATTGGCAAGAGACACCAGAATCAAATCACGCCAAATGCTTCTCGTCTGCCATAATAGTGAAACGAGAGAACTCGCAAGAATAACCGTATCTGCCGCAGCTAAATTTCCAAGGTAGATGTTGACAATGGAGTGCATGGACTTGATACGTGCCACAACGTACAGGAAGATTGCATTCATCAACAGGCCGATGGGTGTCATGTACTTCACAACTTCACGTTGAATAGCGATGTTGGTGTCCTCGTGCATAATAATTCCCTCTTCCTCTGAACCTCCAACCAGTACATTTATAATGTGGGTGTTATTAGCAATTCTAAATGTCGAATTTGCCATTGTAGAGTAGTTGACGAATCAAGATAAAACTTTTTTTGAGACAGTAATGTTTGCTTGTCAAAATGCACGTCTGACTAAATCTTGAAACCTTCTGTCAAAAAGAAAATTGTGTGAATTCTTATTGGATGTCGAAGTGTAGGCACGTGCACTTGAAAACTACACTCCGGCAGCGAAAGTGAAATTTGGATTCGGTTTACCAAATTTTTAATATCATCTTGCTTTTGCAAAAGCAACTATCTTTATGAGGACATGTACATTCCTATGTATCCATCTTGTAATCTTATGCTTTTGCTAATTTGTATTTTCAGTTTCTTGTCTTGGTTATCTTTTTTTTTTAATCAACTGTGTGGGTTTTCTGTACGATGGAAGTCTGTATCTGTCCAGTATCGTTTTACTTTCTGTACGTACATGTACTTTTATCGAGTTTTAGAGGTGGTGTGACTGACTGCTGAATGAATCTGTGATGAACCAGTCTCGATAATGTAGGGAACCGTGCATGAGCAAGGGCGACCTCATGCTCATTCGTTCTTTCCCGTTCGTTTCCATTTTTTTATTCACGTATATGCATAATTATGTAGAAGTGACGTATCCCTATCGTATTCGGGTGATTAACATATTCCTTTGTAAAACACATTACTTTGATGACTTTTGTGCTTCCCACGCGAGGACGGTTAACGGTTGTCTTCGTCAACATGATAATTTAGTTCTTAGGTATATTCATTTAAATTCGGGGTAATATACTTGTCCATGTTAACATTGTATGCAAATAATTGCAAGCTTATTACTTGAAGGTTTATTATCTGGATGAACATATATAGAGGTGTTTGCCCTAGCGTATGAACATTCAGACGAGTGACTCGGCATCACCTGGAAATTATGTACATTTTTCGGTCTTTTTAGAAGACGTCCTTCGACTGTGCGCACCCAAAAACAAACCACACAGGGATTGTGTCTGAATTGTGTTCGTTTTGCTGAAAGAACACACAATGGTCCTGCCATTTGGGTTTCCTTTTTCTTTTACTCACCCTGTACAGGTCAACGCAAACAAACCTATCCAAAGTAACAATACAACCATTATTATTGGAGACCCAAAAGCTATATCTAATTGATGGTGCAACTGCAACATACACTTGAGATTAATCGCAAAGTCTGAAATAAAACAATGTACATTTTTGTCTACCTCTAAAAATATCATTTCTCCATGCTACTGTTGGTTGTTATTGGCTAAAATCTGGAGCCACGCTTAGCATTATATCTCCTCTACTTATCATAAGCAGATGTCACTCCACAGCTCTCCGTGAAATGAATGTGTACAAGCATAACATTCACTGTGTGGACTTCTGAACAACAGATTTCCAAATAAACCAGGTACGTAGCAGTGACGTTGTGCGGACTTGCCCCCGTCCACACAAGGTTCCCCCTCTCTGGAAAACAGGTTTACAGGCACTTTTGGGTTAGGTTTATCGGTGGCAAAATGAAGAGAAACACTAAAGGGAATCATAGAAAAAAATGGCATTGAAAGTGATTTGACAGTGTGAGTAAAATGAGCTTTTTTTCATCAGAGGTTTTTCTTAAGACAAAGGCATGTCCACACTTAGTATGTAACGTAAACATGCGTATATCCTTTCAATGTGTGCATTTTGTTTCTAAATGGCTGTTAAACCATGCAAGGTATACTTTGAATATTGTAATAATCTTAGTTGTAGTCGAACAGATGAAGTTTGAATTTTGTTACTGCAAAACAGAACACGTCCTCTAGATCATCGTGTTGAGAGCCCTTTGCCATGAACAGTAACTTAAACTACTCTGTACTTCCTCAGAAACTGACTTTCATTAAAATTGTAACATGACTGAATGATAATGATAAAACATCATTATATATCATATTAGTATCAATTTAATTGTAAAATAAGTAAAATCTAAAACTTCAAAGCTGGAAGTTCTTCAATGATACAGCCACCAACCTATTCTCAAACTACATAAACTATCTTTCCAAAAAAATATTAAATTAAACCCTTGAAAATAAATATATATGGTAAAAAAAGAACAATCTATTATGAAACACCAAATAACACCAGTAGTCAGGACTCCACACGGGACACACCACTCAAATTAAGAGGGTGTAATTTGAGGAGCGTGTACCTTTTCTCTCCTAATCTGTTAACTGAATATGTGACTGTGGGGCAAAACTGAATGACGGGGCACCTGTAGCACCCAAATGGACAAACAAGTGGCCGCACATCTAAATTTAACACGGCACAATTTTACAAAATAGCCAAAGGAGTAGTATGGAAAGCATTGCTATGTAGTTGCTGAAAGGTATCGTTGCTTGTGTAAAGTATTTTTTCTAAACTTTTGGCAGGCACCACTCTACAGCTCTGTCCAACGTGCTAGACAAATTATGGTCTCGTTTATTAACCAGGTACTGGAATGGTACAAGCTTGTTCAGACCCTTCCTGAAGTAACGCATTTCCATGCCGTGATATTTCTTGACATTCTCAAATGATGGAATTTTCTTGAGTGCTGGTATGCCAAGTTCCCCTGCCATGATGTCTGCTCGGAGGTATTGGAGAAAGTGAGAGGTGTTGTTGAAGTAGTCTAAGATGCAGTGTTGTATTTGTGGTATTCCTGTCGAACTGTCATGGCAGTAATTGGCTATTTTTGCACGCTGGATGTCTGAAAGGTCCTTAAAGAGGTTGTGGAATGCTCGAAGACATTTCCGTCATTTTTCATTATGTGTTGTTCATTATGTTTTAATCATAGTGTAATATGTGCACTGCAGCCTGTATGGCAGGGTGTGTTGGGTGGGCGATGTCAATGCTGATTCATGATGACGTCATCATATTGCACATCTAGCTGTGGGAATTCACCCACTGAGTAACGGACCTGTTTCACCACCCTTTCTTATCAGCGCGCCCACGATTTTGTTGAATGCTACGATATTGTGCAGTGCACCTACAAATATTACAAGCATTGTCCATGCAGGCTTTGTGAGTTCACAAGGAAATTTCTTGTGAATGAATTAGCTCTCATTCAGTGTAACCTAAATATGCAAAACAAGAAATGAAAAGCCCACCACTACACGACGGTGAACAACGTGAACAAGGGTTCTGACTGATTCAAATAATGCGTTGCCTTCAGGCATCAACTTTTTACGAGGGGAAAGGGGGAGAGGTCGAAAACGAAAGTTATTAACTTACCACTGGAAGTTAAAAGATGTTTTGGAGCCCCTCAATTATGAGGTAGTTGCATCCCTGCAATGATGGACGACTCCTTAACACCAGTGATTAAAAAAAAACAACCCAGTGCCATTGTTTTACAGTGAACTTGCATCTTTAATGGGTAGGCCTATGAGGCTTAATTGTCTTTGGATACACTTATTTCCGATGTTAGGCCTATGTTACTTTACACATTAAAACTGGAATATCGAACGAGGGCGGAGGAAAGATATACTCTAGAATTGAAATTTATAGTCAAGTGGAGAAAATATTTTCCAAGAATGTCCAATTTTGATTCAAAATATTTTGAGTTATTTTTGTCTAACGTCAAAATAACGAATGAATTTAACAAAGCTTAAATTTGAACAATGCGATTGTCCTACTGATCGTTTACGAGACATGATAGCCCGGCCTTACTGAAACCGAGAGTAAATATATACATCTGCGGCAGGAAAATAAAACTATCCTCCGTGTTGTACGTTCTTATAAATATATGGCTAATACCAGGAATGTAAGCAGACTATTATATAATAGTGAATTAATCGTATTACTAGCTGAGCTGTGAACTCTATGTGAAGCATATGGAGATTCTTGGAATTTCCCAGCCCGGTAACCTTTGAACAGAATTCGCATGTGACATTTTGGACCCACACGTGCTGAATTACAAAACGTTTTCACGACAACAATCCCGTCGGCCGGAAGTGGATTACATTGTATACATTTTGTATACATTGCGCTACAAAGTCTTGCACGTTTTCAGATACAGTTCGCACGCATTACTCCTGCAGCTCGTGGAAGCAACTTGTTTGCTGTGATGGCTCCTTAATAGTAGCCACCTGACGTTTCTGATATGTTTGGGCCAACTTGAAGACCTCAGGGTAAGACTAACACTTAATTCAAGTGTTTATTATACATTCGTGCTGAAAAGTCTTGCTTTCTGCTGTATATATTATATGCTTTCAACATATGTGAAATGTTCACGCGGCAGATAACTCAAAATATGGTTTTTCGGTTTCTTTGTAGGTTGTTTTACGTTTCTTTTCTATGTGATATGACTGGATTTTAAGTTGATCGCCATAATAAATCACAATTTAAGAGCAAATCAAGGAGAAGTGTCTGAAGTCCGATGATTTTCGCGTTTAGTGCCCCCCCCCCCTCCTTAACTGGTGGACAGATCCCCCGACTAATACAACAGGGCCAACCACTACATTGGAATATGATCAACAATTTTGTGCAATATCAATTGCATTTCGTTTGGGAGGAATTTTATAGGGGAAGGAGATTAAAGGGTTCATGCGATGAATTTTTCTGAGGAACACATTTTGTGCAACTTCGTATAATTTCCTCTTAAAATGAAAACTATTTCACATCCATTTTCCGGACAACTGAGGGTGCTGTTGCTGTGATGTCATTGCCAGGGGACACTGTTTGGTTTAGGGGTTTTCTGTTTAAAATGTGAACCTAAACTTTGCTCATTATTTGGTGAGAAAGAGTTGCTCATTGGCTTTAATTATTGCCATGTACTTACACAACACGAATCACCAAATTAAAACAAAAATATGAAGGCAAAATAACCAAAACTTGTATTAACTTTTTTTGCTGAAATAGCTGTAACATTGAGGTTTCTGCCCGGAATGACATCACATTTTTTGCCATGAATATGGAAATTTGCATTAGCATAAAATCCCAAAAGGCACCAAAATACTCTTCAAAATGGAAAACCAAAAGTTAAAGAAAAAAAGGTTACAATGGGACACAGAGGTGCATTTTCAAGGAAATCATTCAAACAATTACCTTGCATGGAAGTTTAAATCCATGTACATGTAAAAATAATATTATGTGTCTCCAGGATCCCTTTAAGCTTCTCGAACGAACGTCAAAGAGTTGGAGAATATCAAGCTCTGTGATGAACATGGAGGAATAAAGTAATTCCCTCCTTACGATATGACTAGAAACAGCAGATTAAAGAATGATTCGAACTCCAGAAAATGTTGATTGTCTTATAACTCCTATTTGAGATTTATTCTCCAAAAATGAAATCCCTTTAAATATATTTTCTATGCATACTGTTTAATTAATAGCGTAATCATTATATCTGCCAACAACACTGGCTACAATCGAGTACAGGTCTTTACAAAAGCAGTATCAGTAAGTGGCAATATTCATCGATTTTGTTTTATAACATTGTTCAAACTACAACTTTAAAAGCACTAACTATGTTTTAATTCACTGCATACAATTGAGTACAATTCTTCACAAAAACACGGTATGAGTTGCAAATATTAAGCGAATGTTATAAAATTGTTCGAATAACAATCTAAAATGCAGTAACTATGTTTTTATAATTAAATTCACCTTCAATTTTACAAGATAACAATTTGGTTGCTTGACATTAAGTTCACAATTTGCTTTTGGTAAGAAATCACATTTTAAAGCCAGGGATCCTTAGATAGATGTTGCTTGTCTCTGCCCAAAACGTTTTGTTTTGCTAAACAAACAATTCTGCAGGCTTCATTCGACATTCTAAGATGTTCAATAATATTGTCTGAATATGTAGTCATCTGATTTTTTGAATATGGGTTTCCACAGAAGTGATAAATTCCCTGATTGAAGCACAATAAAGTCTTTCTTATTTGATTCTGAAAAGTATCATCTGTGTTGAAAACTTTTCAGTAAATTTCACTGTTATAAAACATATTTGATTGGACTTTTTCTCCTACGAAAAAAAACACTGTATATACATATACACATGAATCGTCACATCAGTGGTGAACAGAAATATCAGTGCCGCTTCGAAAGAATTCTTGAGAATTTCAAAGTTTCAAATAATAATGTTTAATCATTTAGGTACAAAATACCATCCAGAAATTGTTAACGACGATCCTTTTGTCCAAGTGTATCGTAATTCTCCTGTATTTTCAAATTGTGCACATTGTACAATCATCAAAAGAGAGCAAATGATACATGACTTCTATTAGGCCTAAAGAAACACCTCTGTCCTTATTGTTCAAGAAACTAGCGTTTATACACCAACATCAACGATGCTCTAAAACATCTTCATTAGGTGATACATGGAGGTACGTCCATTAAAGCTTTTCTCACACATCGAATTTGCCGTCAGCTTTGGCTTACTGATTTAATGTCCCTTCAATTTCTTAATTCCAGCTCGAAATAGGCTCCTTTTCTGGTTGAGTGAATAACATCAGATGAAACAAAGACAAAGGAGTTTTCTCTTAGGAATATACATTAAATGCCTGTAATTTGCAGTCAAAGCTAGAGCCAGACCGACATTTGAGAAAAAGAATTGTGTTAACATGTACGAATCTCTTCATTATAAGGACCAAAACTTATGAAAAAATAACAGGGATACAGTACATGTTATTGACAAGTAACTGTGGAAATTCCAGGTCTATTTGAATAAAAAAACCCACAAAATTTCATCTGTCCACCACAGATCATTTACCGTTCAACGAAGTGATGAATACCATTAAATACAATGAAACATGGACGTTTACCCACCTCCATGAAATTGCCATCAACATTTCAGAAAAAAAGAGTTGACTTGTTCCTCATTATTCAAAACACAAAATCTGCCAGTAAAAATAATGTTTCATTCTTGACTCGAATGATAAAATCTCATTTGTATTTGACAGCCTGTGTGTAAAATGTAATTCTCACTCAGCTCAATAGCTTCCAATGACATTCTATGGACAACCATAAAAATGGGTTCTTTTAGCAAACCATACATAACTTCTGATAGCATGGTTCAATTTTAGTATGTCTATTTTCAGATGAGTGGCAGAACATGCTCTTTTAAGACATACGTCATTGGTGTTTTAAATTGGATTGCTTTTTAAGAAAACATATCATCAATCCAGGGGACTTTCTTTTTTACTCACCCTGAATGGTATTTCAGTGTTTGCCTTTGTTCTAAATGGCAATATGCAGTTTGTTTTGCAAACTCAAAAAAATGTGTAGATTGTTAATTTCTGCTGTTAAACCATTGTTTACTCAATGTTGTTGAAGTTTAAATATTGTTTGTTTGTTTCAAAACTGAACATGCTCGCTAGATCATATTGTGTTGAGCCCTTTGTCCTGATTAGGTTAAAAAGTACTCTCCTTACTCAGAAACTGACTTACATTAAAAAATTGAAATAATAATCATAAAAACAACAAATTATTAAAAGAAATATTTAAATTCCAAGAAAGCAATAATTTCAAAGCTAGAAGTTCCTCAAAGATACAGCAACGAAGAGCCAGAGTTGTAATGACTCAAGTCAATGATTCGACTCGAGTCCGACTCGAGTCACAATTTTTGACGACTCGACTGGAGTCCCAATGGGTAACTGACTCGACTCGACTTGAGCCACTGTGAGCAAATGCCTCGACTCAACTCGAGTCCCTCATCAGAATACTCGATTCGACTGAGTCGAAGGCTTATAACACTCGAGTCCCAAACTGTGTGAGCCCTTTGTCCTTAACAATAACTTAAAAGACTCATACTTACACAGAAACTGACTATCATTAAAAATAATCAACAGAGAAATAATGATAAAAACAATAAAATTTAAAAAAAAAAACAGAGTTAAATTCCAAAATAGGTATTATCTGAAACTTCAAAGCTGGACGTTTTTCAATGACAGCCACCAACCTATGCTGAAACTATATAAACGTTCCCAAAAAAAATTAAATTATATGCGGTAAAAAAGAACAATCATATGAAACACCTAACAACGCCAGCAGTCATGACTCAACGCGGGACACACCACTCAAGTTATGAGAGTGAAATTTGAGGAACATGTACCCTTTCTCTGCTAATCTGTTCAGTGATGTGACTTTGGGGCAACACTGAATGACGAGGGAGCTATAGCACTTAAATAAACAAACATGGTCGTACACGGCTAAATGTCACAAAACAGCAGAATATTTTTGTTCTGCAACAGATTTGATGGACAGCATCTGTACATCCTGAAAGGTATCACATCTTTTGTATCGGTATAGTATTTTGTCTAACCTTTGGGCAGGCACCACTCTAAAGCTCTGTCATGTCCGTTATTCTTATTAAATTCTCGTTTATTACGTTGGTACTGGAATGGTACAAGCTTGTTCAGTCCCTTCCTGAAGTCTCGCATTTCCATGCCGTGATATTTCTTGACACTCTCAAATGATGGAATTTTCTTGAGTGACGGCATGCCAAGTCCCCCTGCCATGATATCTGCTCGGAGATACTGGAGGAAGTAAGGAGTGTTGTTGAAGTTGTCTGACGCCCAAGTATCTCGTATTAATGGTACTGGCGTTCTATTCATTATATTTGCAAGTTGGCTGTCTGAAATATGCTTAACGTCAGGCTTAGATCCAGGAACTGTTTCTAACCAGTTCATACTCTCAGTGACAATTGCTGAGTAGCTGTTGTTGTCATTAAGTAGTGGCTTAAATGTGTGGAGAAGCCTAGGAATGCCGACATAGTCGGCAACGTTGGAGGTGAAGATTCGGTCATAGTTGGGCATGCTCAGGGTTTGATGGTGATTAGGAAAGTCCAGACAGTTGGCCAAGGAGACATGGATAAGGAGCCTTCCTTGAAGGATGAGACTCTTGACTTTCTGGAGAAGGTTTGTCACGTACTTGTGGTACATCACCATCGGAGAGGAGTGGGATCCAGGGGTGTGCTCTCTTACTCTCAAACAGTCCCATACTTCAAAGGGAATACGAAGTGGCTGAATGCAATACACAAATCTGGCATCTTCGTGTGGTACTGCTTGAGCATTGTTTAGGAGAAGAAATAAGCGTACATCCTTACCTGGAATGATTTTACTTGCGTTTTGGGCAGTAAGTGTTGGGTTGTCGAATGGCATGTCCTTTTCCTTTGCCTCATAAGGAAAAAATAGACCATGCTCAAACCACTCTTCAATCATTTTCCTATCTTTTTCGTTAATACGACTTAAATAGTGAGGATGGTTCACCTTAGCAAAGGGGCAGTTATCAAACAGAACCTTCCTTTGTTGTCTTAGATTGATTGAGGTTGTCTTGTCTCGTTGACATTCCAACGCTCGCCACCTACCCCAAACAACTTTCAGATAAATGAGGTCTTCATCCAGGAGCCTCACCAGTCCTTTGGAAGCGTCATGGAGTTGTTGAGCACTCATCTGAATGAGTTCATCCAAGCTTGTCTTGATCAAGTCGTACTCTCTCTTGGAAATATGGAGTGAGTACCAGATGGTTGTCAAACTGGAAGCAATGTAGTCAGTATCTGCGAAGCGGACCAACATGAAGAGAAACAGCACATTCCTTGCCATGACAAAAGGGTCATAGTCATTGAGGGTAACGTGAAGTTTTCCCTGGTACATGTCAGGCAAGGAAGCAGCTGTCAGCACTGTGTGACGCAGATTTCCACAACCAGCAGAGAGGACATGATATTCCTGCATCGCGTGTACCTTTTCCTCTCTATTTGCGGACAATTCGTTGTTTTCAAGTTGAAGGAAGTCTTTAGCCATGGTGTTCCCAATATAGTAGGGGAAAGAACCAAATAATTTTGGTCTGAGCAGTTTCAGCGAGAGCTGTTTGACAAAAGCCATAATTCCCTTACACTTTGCTTTGTGAAATGGCCAGCCATGCCGTTGGCAGTCTGTATCACAATACCATGCATCGTTGCATCCTGAACACTGGAATAAAAGAAGAAGAGAAGTAGTCTATGAGCAAAACCGTCGAAGATTTTGCTGTTGGCTTGCGTATGTTTTGGGTATAGTGTCGCCTAAACGCAGTTTTGGGAGACACCTACAAGCCCTAAATTCTGTATGACCGTGCCCTTAATAGCCGTATTGTATGGCCGGATGGCCATACGATATGGCTGAGCAGTTTCAAAAAAAAATTCCACATGTTTTCATAGATTATGACGAAACTTGGATGCAGGGACCCTTGGTTAGGAAGACAAAATTCTTCATTGGATTACTGAGGTCGAAGGTCATGTAGGGGTCATTAGAGGTCTTTGTTCGAATATGCTTCAAATGTGACTTTGTCTACATAATTTTATGGATTTTCATGTAAATTGGATGGAGTGATCCTTGGGTGGAGGTTCATTACAACTTTTCCGAAATAGGAGGTCAAAGGCCATCTAGGGAAGGGGTCATTTGAGGTTTAAAAATGCCAAAAATTTGACTTTTTAAGAACACAAAACATATCAGGATCAACCGCGGAAAAAGGCGACACATGCGGTCCGCGGACCACTTGTCTTAATGTCCTGAAAATACTATATATACCTGAGAAGAAATAGCTATTATCAAATTTGAATCGGCCTTGAAATTTTCTATTCTATTTTAATTAGTAATGTTCACAGTTAAAAGGTCTTCAAAATATTTGTGCAGTGATCTGTTTCTTTAAATCAATAATTGCACTGATCACTGCAGTGCAATTTCACAAAGCCCCTCACCTACCTCAAGTGTTTCGCCACGTTTTCCGCAAGCGCTGCACTTTTTAGCCTGAAATATCTCACACTCGACAGCACCGTGTCTGACTTTGTCTCTGTCCCGGCATGATGTGGTGCAGTAGACAGCAACAGGGCATCTGTCGCAAGGCACAGTCCTCTGTGGGAGACGTTTCTCACAACACCAGCAATGTCCAGGCTTTACATCCATGGTGGCCGAAAACAGGTCACTGCACATACACGTAGAATATAAACGACACTCACCATTAACTCGGTGGACAATATAATATAATACACACTCTTTGCAGAATGTGGCTGAACAACATAGCTATTGATACAGTATAATAGCTTTTGCAAAATTTACCACAAACATGTATAATTTCAGTGATAAATTATGCATTTAAAATCACTTCTCACAACACCAGCAATGTCTAGGCTGTGCAGCCATGATGGCCACACACTGGTCAGTGCATACATAGAATGTTATTAAATGACACTCACCATTAACTCTATTATGGACAATAGGCCTATCTATTGTAGACTGTGACTGAACTGCATTGCTCTTGACACACTATTTCATTCATACATTCATTCTTTATTTTCCACATAATTTATGTATACAGAATATATGCGAAAAGAAAAGTAAATGTGGATTGGGGTCCCAAGAAGCAACTGCTTGTCGAGCAGGGATCCCCATAAAAATTAATTGACAATTACATGAACAAATGAATGTATTAACACATACAACACACATACAATCAGACAATAAACTAAACCAAAAAAGGACTGTATCTTGTAACCCTGTGAGACATATGTATATGAATAGACTAAGTAGAGTTTATATACCGTACCCAGTTAGTAGTTTGGCCATATACATGTAATTTCGTTTAAATAATGAAACATTCCATATATTTTTTTAAAGAAACATCTAGGGAATTCCACTGCTCGGAACCTTTACGCATGACTGTATTTTGGGCGAGAGTGGTACTAGCAAAGGTACTAGCAAACAATGAAATTTGTTTTACTGTCTGGTGAAATGCTGGTGCACTTCTTCATTTGTTGTAAACATAGAATAGATGGATTTACGGTATGTAATTTGTTATGATTTAGTTGGTGCATGAAGGCCCCAAGATGGAGAGAATAAATATCTTCTACATTTGTACTTTAAGAGTTTTATAAGTAATAAAAGAGAGGATTGCTATGTTCGAGGTACGAAGCAGAGTTGATTATTCTCAAAATCTTTTTCTGTAGTTTAAATATTCTGTTGATTTGACCGCCTCCGCAATTTGCATAGCTTTTGTACAATTTGTCAGAAACGTGCATGCTGATGGTTTCAGTGATCAATTATGCATTCACAAATCACTTCTATGGAAGTTCAGTTCACTTCAATTTAAAAACAAGTAGACATTTTATTTCCATATTCTTCAAATCGCGATCATTACATACGTATATAGTAATAATAATTTAGATAAATATACAATTAAGAAACAGTCGTGGAAAAGTATGTTTATGTACAAAATTACTCAGAATTAGAAATCATGGAGGCGTTTTCAAGAAGCCAGAGCTTATATAGAAATGCCTCCCAAATAGCAGGGGAAAACGTACAAGGATAGACGATATGGAAAAAAAAATACTTATCAACAGAAACATAACAGGGACAAAAACAGGACAGCACAAAGAGACAGACACAAAGAGAAAGTACACAGTTTTTCGTAAACAAAAACAAAAAATAAAGCTTTTCTGGCAACTGTACAATAGTCTGCGTTAGATTGAGTTGTAATTCATTTTTGGGAACACATGTTATCTGCCGAAATTGGCCCGATAACTTACCTCAGTACGTGTTGCTCCTTTGGCGTCGTTCATATGTTTTAATTATAGTGTAAAATATGTGCACTAGCAGGATATTGGGTGGGCGATGTCAATGCGGAATCATGACGTCATCATATTGGACATCTTAACTAGACTTGAAATCAAGTCGGTAATTTTTGGGTTTAGTTCGCCCGCTGTACGTTACAGCATACCGTCCGAGGATATACGTGTAGGGGCGGTATGACACTTGCGGGGACGCTTTGTGCATCCTCGGCCGAGTCGGCCCCAATTTCGTGTAGGTCGGTACCAATACATGTCGAGCCCAGCAAATGATAAGCTCGATATACAGCCCCGTGCAAGTTTAGGGACGCCTACTAATAAAACACGACTGTCTAGCGACTTGTCCTCAAGTCCACAGACCACCTGTTTGCAAACCCTTTGTTATCAATGCGCCTATAACTGATTTTATTGAATGCCTGCCATACGCCCACACATGATTCAGCCTTCAATGGTGTTGAACATGTCCTTTTTCGTCATGGAAAATTTTCATGTCTCATCAAAGACTTTGTATATACACACAATAAGCATCACGGTACATCCTTTACATTACATTCATTTCTCTCATGGACCAAACCACGATCAATCATCGATGATATAATATTGGTTGCAGGCCTGCAAATCGACTCCCATAGACCCCATCGGTAATTACGCGTACATTGAACAAATATTAAAAACAAAACTCTCCAAGGTGTTTGAGACACCCCAAATAAAAGCTGATTTCCTCGTCTTTTATTTCAAGTTCTGTTAATTTTTGAGGGGGTTAACTGATAATTTTTGGGAGAAAATTCCACCAAAGCTGATCACCCTAAAAGCAGTCCTAGAAAGCCATCGCTATTTTGAAACTGGACGCCTACGCTCTATTGCAAAATAGTTCCATTTTAGGGCCTAATTTCATCCAAATTTCGCAGAAATACAAGCTCAAACTCCATTGCACAGACATACCTTTTTTTTTTTTTTTTTACAAACCTTCGAGTTCATGGCCCGCGCAATACTCTTATAGCAAAGTATTTGAGGGAGTACACATTGTGATTTGACCTGCGTACGCAATTTTGGAATATTTACAGATCTGCATCTGGATGTTTATATCTAGTGTTAGGGAAGGCCTTATTTTTTAACATTTTGCTACTGAACTCTCCATGCAATGGAGACTGTATAGAACACAAAGCTATTTTACATGAATTTAATAGGTCATTTATAACGCCCTATTAAATAATATGTTGAAAAACTTTCTGTAATGTAATTAGACAAATCAAATTAAATTGGATGAGTTTGACAAAATAAAACAATCATGGGACAGATAACATTTACTGGGACAATAATAAATGAATAATAACGTATGCCAACAAACAGATATTAATAAGTTTACTATGGAAAACAATTTAACAAAACTCACAACTCAAACAAGGAAAACACTTAAATGTAGGTCTGCAGCAGTAATATTCTAACAACATAACTAATGAGGTGAGGAAGGCATGGCATTAAAATAAACATTTTATGTCGTACATGTACATACATGAAGTACATGTACATACCAGGATAAAATTACCGTACAAATATTAATTTCAGAAACTTGCTTTTGACAAAGTGAAAGGTTCGAATTTTCTGTACAATGAAGAGAAATCCGTAATTTGGGACCTTGGAACTTGATTGATTTCAGGGAAATGTTTGTCCGGAAAAAGGGAGGTAAAAATGTGAGGCTCGTCTGAATGATAATTTCTGGGAAATATTGAACAAAGCAGGTGAGTATTTTGTTGTGAGAAAGTTGATGTTTTACATGCTTATTCGTGCCAGCCCGCGCTGCACCCGCTCGATAAGAACACCTCTATATCTATTTCAAAATGAGACAATCCTAATAAACTTTACATAGGTAAAAAGCTTATTAGTAAGGCTACAACATGCAACAAACCAGAGGTCTTCAAATCAAACACTTTTCTAGAAAATAATAGGGCTGTTCGTTTTCGAATAATCTAGTATTCGATCACTCGTAACTGCGTTTGACCGAATATCGGATGTTCAAAAACTGTGAGCTGAAACTGCGTGCTGCACCGGTAAAAAGTTGAACGAAGAGTGTACCAGTGAAATGGACGTGCGACGATCGCTATGTGTTTTGCAGCAAGTATATATTTTAAACCTGCTAAAAGGATGTGAACAATGAACCGCCGTCGACAATTATGTTATCGTCGACAAAAAAGTGGCACCTTACAATGAAGTACCACAACTTTAAAATAAAATAACATCACAGTTGTCTGAATGTGGGGGGTTTTCGTTTGTTTTGGAATATTCAAACCGGCGAAAAGCTATTCGAATATTCGGTTGATAGTCGAATATTCGGGACAGTCCCAGAAAATGTCAGATTTAGATATTCTTTCTGCCGTGTAAATGCATTCTTGTTCAGCCGTGCCAGCCCACACTGTAGCGCTTGCTAATATGTACTTCAAAATGGGAAAATGCGGGCAAACTTTACATCGATAGAAAGCTTATTTGTAGGGCCACAATATGAAATAGATTGGAGCTCTTCGGGGCAAATTCTTTCGGAGAAATCGTCAGATTTGTGTCGCCTTACTTTAATACCGGGCCGTTTCTGTTTTGTAAAGAAATGCCATGTAGGCCTACATGCTTGTCTAGCCCGCGCTGTACCTGTTTGCTAAGTACATAGATGTATATTACCGAGGGTAAAACAAATGTCATTTCTCACAGTAACAATTAGTTTATTGACTAAACCATGAGCAATACCTTGCTGGTATCCTCTAATCATCGCTTTGCGGCAGGCACCATTCCACAGCTCGCTCACAACCATTCAACATGTTGGGGATGCGTGCGTTCACTCGATACATAAATGGAACGAGCTTGTTCAGCCCCTTCCTAAAGTCACGCATTTCAAGACCATGACACCTTTTTACAGTCTCAAATGTTGGCACATCTGTGCTTTCCCCTCCCATGATTTCTGCTCGAAGATACTGGAGAAATTGAGGCAAGCTATTGCAGTACTCTATCAGATGGCGATTTGTGAACGTTGACCTCTTTGCACTGATCTCACTTTCGTCGCCATCGAGTAGATATGCACAGAGACATTTTCTCAGCTCAGTGGTTGATAGCTTTTGGCAGACATCACCCGTAGGGAAGAATGATAACCAGTTCCAAGCCTCAGTCACAATGACTGAGTATCGGTTACTGGCATTCAACAAAGGCTTGAGGCATTTGAGGACTTTGCTAAATCCACAATCTGCAAGGTTGTAGGTGAAGATCCTGTCGTACTTCGGTAAACCGTTGGCCTGATGATGTTTACAAAAGTCAGGATAGTACGCCAAAGAACAGTGGACTAGAAGCCTGCCATGAATGATG